AATTTACGCAGCTCATTTACACACTTTTCCTGAAGATAGAAGAGTTTGTTGAATCTGACGTGACATGTTCGTACGAACCCTTTGTACGAACAAAAGGAAGAGACATTTAGGAGAAGAATACGAACATGTTCTTGCATGAGGCCCAATAATTTTTCCGATATTTCAGTTAAAATACATAAGTAAAAATATTTATCCGAGTATAATACTACCCCCCAACTTTATGGATGATTTATGGATTTAATTTTACGTATTATACTTGAATAGATACGGTAAATTTATCGGTCAAATTTTCAGACAAAACATCAGCAACACAAGAGCAAGAGAGGAAATTCAGCAAAGTTGCAAAACCTTTAGGGATATTTTAGAACTCGTACTCATACGAATTGAATGCTGTTCCCTGACTGGTCGCTAGTTTTATCAAGATGATGAGGCTTGTGTGTAATCTGTTCACCTGGATCAGTGTCACACATCTACACAAAAACCTGCAGAAAACACACACACACACAGTCAAAACAAGACGTCTTTGCTGCAAATATTTCTGTGAGCAGGATGTAGGGAATGATAAACACAGCTCCTGGCTTTTAAACAGATCTGCTCAGCAGTGTGTGGTCTGTACGTGTGTGTGTGTGTCTGTACGTGTGTGTGTGTGTGTGTGTGTGGTGTGGTCGAGGTTGTAAACACTGAGCCTCCTCCTTGTCTGTTGTTCTGTGTGTGTCTGTTGGTCTGTGTGTGTTTCTCCTCCTGAACGTTCTCTGAAGGTCTCCGGGTCAGATTCGAGGATGAAATGTTCCGACTCCTCTCCAGCGCTTGGACTCGTTAGTTAATTACGTGGCTCAGGTGTTTTGTGTTTTCTCTCAGCTCCGGCTGCTGTCGTGTGTCCACAGAGCCTGTCCGTCTCATGTCCTGTGAAAGAGTTTGGACCGGGCCGTGGGTGAGCTGGAGCACCACATCACGGCTCTGTCACAGGAGAGCACCTCCATTATGTAACAGCAGGCTTTTCTCTTCATCTGACATCTGCTTTAGTTTACAGTGGGGGGTGGGGGGGACCTGCTACTCAGGCATTAGTGGCTGACTGGAAGCTGACCAAAACATGCATCTGATACAACTTCTGCGAAGGAATTTTCCTGTCATCAGAACCAAAAAAAAAAAAAAAAGAAACACCTTGTGACAGGTTTATCCCGTGTGTTTGTAAAAAACTCGGACAAATTTACCACAAATGTTCTTAGAAGCTAATTCTATTGAGCCTCTATCATTTTCTGTTTTTAACACTGATTCCGTTTGTTCCATATTTGTTGGTGTAACGTTGTGACCTGATCCATTTCATCTGGGCTCACTGAATCTGCTGTAGGTTCTCACTCATCCAGGACAAGACCCTTTCAAATCAAAAGACCGGACGTGTTTTTCTGATTGCTGAAGATGATTCTCTCCTCATCCAAGGAGCTGGCTCACTTCAGACCGAAGTTTCAAGCTTTAAACRAAACAAAACACAAGAAAAGGAGCTCCTAGGGACAAAACTCTGCTGTCCACCTACATCTGAGCAGTAAGGACCCCTCTCAGAACACAACAGTGGTCTTATAGAAGATAGATGAGAGGGGACTGAAGAAAACTTTTTA